CCCCTCCCCCCCCTTTTCTGCGGTCGCGGGGCCGCACAAAATGGCGGCCGCGGGGGAGAGCTGTGGGGGGTGATAGGACACCTGTAAAAGAAGTATTGAAGAAAAGGAGCCGCGGGCGTGTTTAAAATAATAATAATAATAATAAAAAAACCCACCCAAATTAAAAAAGCAATAGCGGTGCAGATGTTAGTGAGATAGCCTGGGTGCGGAGCAGCTGCGCAACCAGGTGCCCCTGGTCCCCGCAATGCAAACAGGCATATATCTGGAGTAAGAGGAGGGAATGCAGTAATTACATATGCATCACCAAAAGTACAATATATATGGTAATTTTGTATTTAAATACAGCTCTTTTTTTTTTTTTTTTAAGAAATGGGAAATAAGGCAGATTCACCTAGTAGGCTGTAAACACAACCTGATAAGCCGAAAATGCTTGAGCAATTTAAAACAAGCCCAGGGCTGAACTTCACCACTTAATATATATATTTATACACACACATATATACATATATATATGCTGCCCAGGGACTGTGTCCTTCAGCCAAGAGGGGGAAGACCCTACCTAGCCCACAGAAGGATGAAAACCACACCAGTTCCCATGCTGGAGTAAACTGCTGGCAGAAGCACAGCTGGCCGGATTTGAAGAAACAGGGTTGATTTAAAGCCAGAGTCTCTCTCGCACACCTACTGAGAAACCGAAGGTTGGATTTGCCTTGTCACTTAAGTATGGTTTGAGAAGTGATTGACGCTCCTAAAGCATGTATTTTTAATTGTCATTCTGATGCTATAAGGAGGAAAAAAAAGCTATTTCTCTCCTCCTGAAAAAAAATCTCCAGTTTAAGATCAACCTTGTCACTAAAACAGACTAGTTTTCCCCTTCCCTTTTTTACTGTAGATTTTATGATTTTTAAGGACTTTATATCGATGCATCTCCATACTCTTAGGTACTGCATTCGTTTCTTCTTACTGAGCTACATGGGAAACCTGATCTGACTTGAAACTATCCCACCAAACTCTTGCTTTTAACTCATGCCAGTTTACTTTTGGCTCGTTTACATGAACTCTTAATGTGCCACAAGCACGTGTGAGCAAGGGGGATAAGAGTAGGTTGGGTTGCCAGTTTTTGATGAGTATTGAGACGTAAACATGACTCTCAGGCCTGCTTCAGAGGTTGGAGTAGTACCAGACTGTCACAGCAAGATGGCCCTATTCCACTGCCCTATTCCAGTGCCACATGGTATCAGATTAAGAATCCACTGTTGTATTTTTAAAAGTTGATTGTTCGTTGTATTGCAGCTTGCAAACATGACCTATCTGCAGCTACCTTCCACCATGGGGGAGGAAAAAGAGGTAATAGCACCTCCTCGACAGAAATTTGGGCATTAATGCCGCGTTAAGCTGCCTCTCAG